TGCATGTAGAAATTTTTGAAATGGTGTATCTTTGGCTATGTGTATTTTCACCAGAAAAAAAGGTTGAGAAGTTAGGAGGGTTGACATGTTGTGGGGTTGTTAACCAATGTCATAACACAATATGTGTACTACTGTTTCATGAGAAACTGTTTGTTATGTAAGCCTTCACCCGAAGTACAATTAAAAAAAAAAAAAGAAAAGAAATAATCCCTCTTCAAAACACCGACCCCCAGCATGATAGTCTTGACACCCTTAGTGCCTTTCCATATCACCACCTTAGGTTTGCATGGCTCTACTGCACATTTTGCACTGTTCTTTCTGGCATGCGAGCACACATTCATGTCCATGCCTGCTCAGGCAGACATGTTTTCACGTTGAGTGATGCTGGGCACTGCTGTTTGGGAACTTGGCTTTCATCAAATGTACTAGGGCAGGTATCCATTTGGAAAGACTGATAAAGCCAGAGAAGCCAGGGGCCAAACTACAAACTGAAGTCATAACTTCATTTCTCAGAAAGAAACAAATCAAGTTTATTGTGATGCCTGAGCACACCCTTCAATGAGAGCAGAGAACTATCAGTTGAACACTACGCTTGTAACACACCTACTTCTGAAGAATGTGCACTTGTGTCAGGAATTTTCTTCCCTAATCCTTGGTGACTTATTAAACGTCTAGTGTTTAGGGGATATTCCTAGAATCCCTTGATTACTGGCTCTCAGTTAATTCTACTTCAACCTCTCTTCCTTTTAAATTACTTACTCTTCAAATGCTTTTGTGACATCCTTTTGATCTAAATTAAGGTTAGGGGCAATAGTGAAGTTTATTTTGCTAAGAGATCTTACCAGTGTGGTTGTCAGTGACAAAATTTTAATATGCCATAAAGAAAATTTAAACTATACAAACAGAGCAAGCAGAAACTAGTACAGATAGATGGCATTTTAATTTTGAACCTTTTCCATTCAAAATGGAACATGATAAATAAAAGTACCTAGAAAGAACTAAGAACAAATTTCCTAACTCTGATTTAATGGAAAAACATAATGTATTTTTCAGTGACCTATTTAAACAGAACCTGATAATCTCTTCCACTAAACTTACTACTTCATCATTCTCATTACCCATGGCATAATCCAGGCTCTTCATCCTGTGTACAATAATACGACATATTAAAACTATACATCTTGTTCCTACTTAGGCTAAGGGTTTTAATGTGTTTTTTTTTATTATTATAATCCTCCTCACCATATTCTGAGTTGTTGCTGATGCTACTTCCATAGATGGCTAACACTAAGGTAAGCAATTAATGTTCTTCTCCCTCAATAATTCCTTACAAAGGACAAGGCCTGATTTGGCAGTTATATAGGGTATTATTCATTTGGGCATTTCTTAAATTCATCAATATTTTCATATCTATTTGTTAGATATCATCAGTCTTCAAGGTTGCACTACCACAATTGTTCTAGTCAATGATTCCATTTCTTGGTATTTAGTTTGTCTACGGTAAACTATGTAAGTAGTTACATAGACAAATACAAAGACTTGAGAAACCAAAGTAATCACCTCCTTTACTTAAAAAGTATGTGACATCAAGATTGTTTGTTACTCTTTGGGCCTTGGTTTCTTTGTTGATAAATATGGAGATAGTGCCATCTATTTCACAGTATTGTGATAATTTTGAAAGCTATCATATATAAAAATACCTAGGACAGAAACCGATACATGATCAACATTCTGATATATTTTCTGCGTAGCTATTTTGTGCCAGGTACTTTCTTTTTAACTTAATAGATGACTTTTTATTGCACATTATCTAGAAATTGGCCTTATTATATAATTTTCTCCCCATTTCTATGTCATAAGACAGTTTTTTCAAGAAGCATAAAAAGTTCCATTTTCTATGAAAAGTTTTAGCATACGGAATTTTTAGTAAAATATTGCTTACTGGGGTCAACATACTCCTAATTTTCAAAAATTATATTCTATGTGGGAACACTAATGAAAATGTGCTAGAAAAATGTATAAATTAATGTACTCAATAACTTTTGACAGTATAATTTACATAATACAATATCTAAAGGATACTACCACTTTGTTCCTACTTCAGATCAGTATTTCTAAATCTTAGAAGATAAATATAAAAAAAACTTGCTGAATTAATTATTATCAATAATAATGGTTCACATTTAAATCACAAATGTTATATAATTTCTTTTTAATCTCCAGAGAACTATTCCAGATTCTAGCAGGGTATGGAAACCTGCCGCCTAAGTGTAGCCACATCCTTTCCCTCACCCCCTGCAGGAATCACAAGGCTCTGTCCTGCTAAGCCCTCACTTCCTCCAAAGGTCCTTCTCAACAAAAGATTCCATACGGTTAGAGTAAAAACCAAATTTATGCGCCATCTCAGAAAATTTTCATTACAGAAGCCAAATAAAATCCACTGTCAACTTTTCATCTAAATAAATATAAAAATAAAGCCTAACTAAATGGATTGCTTTCACAGCAAGTCCAAATACACAACAAATTTCTATAAATACTTATTAATAAAAAACAACTGTTAAGTAAGATCAAACCAAAAACCAGCCCCTGCTGAGTCAATTCCAACTCATAGAGACCATATGTGTGTCAGAGCAGAAATATGTTCCATAGGGTTTTCAATGGCTGATTTTTCAGCAGTAGATTGTTAGGCCTTTCTTCCAAGGTGCCTCTGGATAGACTCAAACCCCCAACCTTTTGGTTAGCATCTGAGCATGTAACGTATTGGCACCATTCAGGGACTCTCGTTCAGTAAGACAATACTGCCTAAATGTGATTATTACTGTTCAATAACCAAAAATTTGCTTTTGATGATTTTTCAATTGTTTATAACTTTGTCTCTTTAGTCTTTACAGTAAATGAAGACATTCAACAGTGGGATATAGGTGCAGTTCAAATCGATACATTTAATTCTTACAGACTTGGGAAGAAAAGTACTCAACTGCTTTTTAAAAAGAAAGGCCTGGGGACTTTAACTAAAAACACTGTTGAAAGGTTTCTTGTAATGAAAGGACTCGCAGTAAGGTTTTATGAAGCACCACATAATTTAACAAAACTTCAGCAACAAAGAAATCTTGTAAGCATTTAAACCTGATATACAGTATTTTTACCATGAATTCCACCAAAGGAAACAAGCTTAACTAGGAAAACAGAAATTCAAAGTTAAAGCTAAACAACATTCTAAAAAGATTACTCTGCCCCCAAAAAGTGCAAAATAAGTAACATTCACATGGTCCAAATTCTCTCCTAAAACAACATAAACTATCACATTAAACTTCCCGAAGAAATTTTAGGATCTTTGACATATATGGTGACTTATTAAGGATTTAGGAGAAAAACACCCAGCATGCATATACCATTTTGTACTTATAATCCTTCATGAGTGCTGAGGAGACAATGCCAAGACAATAATCTATTTTTTAAAAATAGATTATTCAAGAAGAATAACTGGCTTCTAAATGTTTAGATTCTAGCTAAAACTCTTCAAAGAAGACAGCAGAACACACCCTACAAGGTACATCATTATATAAATCCCTTAGGTATAACAATCCAAATATTTTTACTCAAAGGCCAAGAAGATTTTTTCATCCCAGGTAAAGAATGTGCCATAACAGAGCTTCTGATTGCTCATGTGTGCAGTGTGATAACAGCAATGTTTTAGCCACTACACTGTCTGGGCACTCTGTTACTTTATTCTGGACAAGAGTACAGGCAAGTTGATCCTGGTTTCGTTTTTAAATTTAGCAACTATTTTAATTTAAAAATAGGGACTATGAGTGATATATTATAGTTTTGTATATGCTGAAATTCCCAAAACGAAAAGGGGAAGAAAGGGGAGAGAAAGAAAAGGAAGAAAAAGAATAAGGGGAAAGAGAGAGATACAGAGGTTCCAAGTCAAACAGGCCTTGGTTTGAATTCCAGCTCTGTAACTTATTTGCATTGTGACTCTGGGTAAACTTCATGTTTCTCATCTGTCAAAAATTGGGATACTAATAGTTCCTGCTTTATGAGGCTGCTGGGAGATTTGAATGAAATGATATATGTAAAGCACCTAACACAGTGACTCACAGTTAGAAAGTTATCAAAATATTAACTATTCTTACATAATTATTTTTATTGGAACCAAATAAATTGGTCAGTTTGATGAGCTTACAGCTTAGGCTTAGTTTATTCAGGAACGCATTCAGTTATTCAACAACATGACGTAATCTTTGCATAACTAAGAAAAATTACTGAGCTCAAGAAATACTTAGTTTCCAATAAATATTTTCTGGGGAATTAGCTTCTTATAAGTCAGTAAGATCATGGACTCAAGAGCCCAATGGCCTGGATATGAATCCCAACTCCACCCCTTGCTGGCTGTGTGACTTTAAGCGAGTATTACCCTGTGTCTCAGTTTCTGTTGACTGGGGATGACAACATCGCCTTAGGCTGTTGTGAGGATTAAATGAATTAATACATGTAAACTGCTTAGAACAGTGCCTGGCACTTATTAAGTACTATGTAAGTATTAATGTCGAGTTAGTTGGTGTTAATAATTCTTACCAGGAAAAAAAGGGCATCATTAAATCCAGCTTCTTACTAGACTGACTAGACCAGGAAACTATGATTTTGAAGCTTTTGAGCTACAGTCTGAAGTAAACCCTTACCTTACTAGTCATCGGTTTCCTATAAACACAGTGTTGGTCATTTACCTGAAGATTCTATTTATCGGGGCTTAGTATCTGCTATGTTGCCGGCAAAAGCCAAAGACATTTTATAGCTACATATGTGTCCGTGTGCGTGCACTGAAGTTTAGAATGATGACCTCTGAGTGGTGGAAATGTTTTGATTTTTACTTCTCTGTATTTTCTTTGCCATGCACATGCATTGCTTCTATAGTAATAAAAGGTTATTTTAAAAACTTGAAAGGAAAGAAACACATTTCGTGTTTGCCTAAGGAAAAAGACCCACAAATTCCATACCTGTATTTATGAATGATGGCATTAAATAGTTTTCCATCTCTCCAGCAGGTAGTGAAATTTTCACACTGTATTCCAGCATAACCCTCTGTTGCCTGCTGTGTCCACAGCAGCAATCTCTCTTTTGCAGACATATCCTCTGACTCTCCAGTAACATGGATATCAGATATCTGAACATAAACAGAAAGTGTTAAACCATTAGGAAGGAAGGAAGCAACTCAAATTAAGAACCTACTATGTGCCAAGCACTGGACAAGTACTTTTTACTTAATCCTCATCAACTCTCGCTTGTAAGCTAAATATATCTCCCCCATTTTAAATATAGGAAAATTTAGTCTTAGAGAGGTTAATTAACAGGTTGAAGAAGCCAGATTTAACCCATTTGTGTCCAACTGAAAAACTTAACTTTTTTCACTATACCAAACCTTCACAGCATTAAAAATTCTACATTCCCCTTTGCTAATCTGATCTCATAAAACAACTTCAGTAAATGTTTTATCTAAGCTCAAATGGATCAAAAGTAAAACCTATAAATCAATCCATACTACCAACTGCAGAGTAGAATTTGATCCAACACATATTCTGTGTAAAGAACAAAAAAAATAGTACCCTCTCCTATTAACCAAAATCTCTAATTTTCTCATGAGTCCTTTATTGGCTTGCTCAACATGAAAACTTATCTCCCCTCCTACACTTTGTTTTTACCATGTTTTCCAAAACTCTTCCGTTCAATAATAGTAAACAGGTCACCAGCAGTTCACATGATTTACATTTTCCCAGGAAAGCCTCTTTGGTAAGGCTCCTACTTAAGCTGCTATAATAATATTACAGCACAAAGTGCCTTTACCAAGGGTCACATTATAATTCCAAAGCTAGGATTAACACCAACAAACATCTGTTCCCTCAATCAGTGCAAGATGCAAAGCCAAGAGATCAAGAAGACAAGCAGCAAACCAGGATCAGGATGAGCAAGTAAGAGATTGGAAGCAAGACAGAAGGAGACACAAATCATTTTGTCACAGAAAAAAGCTCACTAGACTAGAGTCATGAGATAGGCTTCTAGTCCTAGCCCACTAGCCCCATACCAAAACCCACCACCGAGTCGATTCCAACTCACAGCAATTCTATAGGGCAGAGGAGAACTGCCCCATAGGGTTTCTAACGTTGCAAATCTTTACCGAAGCAGACTGCCACATTTTTCTCCTGCGGAGTGGCTGGTCGGATTGAACCACTGACCTTTCTGTTAGCAGCCAAGCACTTAACCACTGAACCACCAGGGGTCCCTACTAGCCTCATAGTTTTGGATAATTCCTTTCATGTCTGTGAGCTGACTTCCTCATCTATAAAATAAGGAGGGAGAAACGGATAAAGGAGCCCAAAGGCACCCAACAACAACAACAGAAACAGGTAAAACTTCAGGCCCTTTTCAGTCCTAAAGGTCTTCCTAAACCCACTGTGGTCGAGTCAATTTCGACCCATAGCAACCCTACAAGACAAAACAGAATTGCCCCATAGAGTTTTAAGGGCTGTAAATCTTTATGGAAACTGGCTGCCACATCTTTCTCCCGTGGAGCTGCTAGTAGGTTCAAACTGTCGACCTTTCCATCATCAGCCGACCTCTCAACCAAGAGACTGTAAATCCAACACAGAAGTCAAAAATGGGCACAGCAAAGCAACTGAAAATGGAGAATTTAAAGGGGAAAAAAAAAAAAAAAAAAAAACACCCAAACTAAAGAAAGCCTTTTACATGAGGCCATGCCCAGCTCAAACAGGAAGCCCTTTATTCCTTCCAGCTGCCACAAAAGTCAGCAGCCTGGCTAACCCAGGGCCTGGAGTAGGAAGGGTGCAACACTTAAACTCGTGCCAAGCTTGGCATGCCCTAATAACACCATTTGTTGGAGAACATGGCAGGGCCCTCACACATCCTTTCTCCCATACCCAGCAGAGACAGCCATCCTCGGCAGAGCTCCACTCTCAGCCATGTTCTGAGACACTCCCGTAGCAAATGCCAGGATTTGAAAGTAAAGCAAGGTGCCTCCATTCTAATTCTCTTTCCTAGGAATCTATGCTAATCTCTGTAACTGGAAAAGAATTGTGTGCATGAACACATTATAAGGTATATACATAAAAGGACTTCTTTTTTTTTTTTTCTTCTCATGTGAGAAAGAAAGAGCAGAGACATCACGAGTATTCTACTCAACTTCCAACTGATATCCTGGTGTAAAACTATGATTATAACCATTGCTGGTATATTCCATGAGTTTAAATCTCATCTTCACCTCTTACATGCTCAAGTTACTTAACTGCTCCGTTAAGACTGTTTCCTCACTTGTAAAATGATGATAATAATTATTGTTACATTGTATTATGACAATTTGACAACTTTAGCACAGTATAATGGTTGGCACATAGTAAGTATATTCTCCACGTAGGTTAGTTATTTTATTGTTGTGGTTATTATTATTCGTATTGACAAAGGGAAAAAAAAAAAAAAAACTTGGCTTTATTATTCTTCCAATTCTCTACCTGTAAAGAGAAGTAAAAAATAAACTTGTTAAATTTGCTGCCTCAAACTAATGAAAACAAGAGTTCAGAGAAACTAACCTAAGAAATCACGGAAATGAAAAAGTTGAGCCTCTAGGTAAAATTTCACAACAGTTCCCTTATCACCTTTATAAATTATAAAATCAAGGGCTCTGGGGAACCTTTACCACACAGGAGCTACTTGGGTGTTATTTGTAACCATCTAAAGAAAAGGGAGACAGCCGGGGGAAGAGGGAGGCTCTACTCTGCCGTTTCAGGAACATTCCATGTCAGTCTAGTCACAAAAGTGCCATTAACAAGGGATGCCAGTGAATTTCAACTACAAGGTACAAGTTTAATAGGTGCCAATGCTACTCAGCATTTTACCTGAGGGAAGGGAAAAATATTGGAGGATGAGTTTAGAAGTCTGAAAATGCTCTAAATATCAACCAAGAGAATACATTCTTGTTAAATAGCTTCCAGTAGATACTAGTCAGATTCTTACTCACACACACACCACTGAAGAAGCTATCATTTTAAAATGCATATTCAAATACGTTACGAACCAAACTTAGACATCTCAAAGACTACTAATATATTAACACACCCAAGGCTATTCATATGATCTCTCTAAAATTCACTTTCCTCATCAATAAAACTTAAACGACAATAATGTCTACCTCTTTGAGTTGTTCTAAAGATTAGATGAAATAATACACATCAAGTGCTTAGCACAGTCCCTGGCACAAAGAAAACACTCTATAAATGTTAACTTCTCTCATCACAATTTTATTAGTAGTATTTGCTGCTTAAAACTTCTCACGAGCAATTTGTCAGCTAGCATCAAAAACAAAATATAGTAGAGCTCCTTTTTGGAAACTTGAAGCCCTCATGCCTCACAACCAGGTCATTATTGGCTAGCACTCACATTCAAGTTCTTCCCGTTACTCAGCCTCTCATGCCCATACTTCACCTGTGCTGTATCTCTCCTGATTCAGCTTGCCACCATTCCCCAACTTTCCAGAAATATCCATTCCATGGTAAACTATAAAGTATCTTATGGCTTCAGTACTGTACCCTGCTTCTCCCTTCTTACTAATAAACGTCAGGTTTCTCCCACTGCACTAACTCAAGTTTAGAAAAACCCCAGACACCATTAGGCTCAGAGGCAGATCAAGTTTATTCTAACTCCCCTGATCATGCTTTCAAACCATTACCCTTGGGTAGAAAGACCTCAGTTTTTACACTGGGGACTACTCTTGCTCTACTACATTCTTCCTCTCCTCAAAAATGATACTAGTATCATTTGTGTATGTGCCCATGGGCCTGAACTCAAACCCTATCTCCATCCAGCACCCCATCTTCCCTGTCCTTTGTCTCCTCTCTACTTCAGTCATTCACACACCTATTGCTATATCCAGGACCTCATCATCTTGAACTGGAATTGATCCACCTCAGATATTTAACTTCAGACAGTAATTTCCTTTTCTTCCCGCACTTTCACCCCCTAATACAAGCTAAAACAATTTTGGGGCCTCATCAACATCTCACTTTCCTTGACTCACTCATGTTTATCCCAATCTGTGAGCCCTCTCCTATCTTTAACTCCTCTGTCTGGCCTGTACTTCATGATCTGTCACTTCAACCAGTGTCTTGTCAATATCCTCAACTCTCTCACACCCTTGTCCTTACCCTGCAACCACTCAGCCAAACTCCAACCCTGATCAATCCAGCTGTGTGTCTTCTCCACTCTTCCCTTTGCTATAAAACTCTACCAGAGAAAACCATACTTCATACATGAAGGTAGATATTATATCACATTATTTGTGTGGACTCCTGCCACCACAAAGCCCAGGTCTGCAATCACAGGGAGGCCCTCAAAGAAACCTGACAATTCTTCTTGGTGTCCTAGTTAGCCAATATTTCCATTCCTTATAATATCCTTTTCAATCCTTCACCATTCCCCTAAAACTCCCTACACTTCTAACTTTTCTTCTATGCTTAGCAATCACTTCATCTCCTTATTAACTGAGAAAATAGAGACATGAGTAAGAACTCTCTCACTTCCCTGCCCTGTCACTCACAGACTTTGCTTCTATGTGTCTCTCTTCCCCCTGTGCTCTGAACTCCTTTACGTCCTGCCTCCTAAGGGCCTGATTCTCTAATTTATCACCTCTTACCGTATCTTTCCTCTCGACATTAAAAAACCCACTCTCTTCCATGGTAAAATAAATGAAAATAAATAACCTTCATAAACTTGGTTTCTTCTTTACTTACCCATCTTGCCCCTCTTTTCTCAGTACAGCTCCATGAGAAAGAATTCTGCGTTTTTTCCTTTATTATCTCACTCCTGAACCTGTTGTGATCTAGCTCCCAACCCCATCATGCCACTAAAACTGAGTGGGGTGATCAGACAAGTAAGGAAGGGAGTTCTTGCTCGTGCCTCTATTCTCCCAGTAAATAAGGAAATTTAGATTCTTTGTTAAATCTAATGGAAGAAGTGATGGGTAGGGAGTTTTAGGGGAATGCCAAGGAGTTGAAATACATTGTGAGGGATCATCTATCACCTCCTCTTTCACAGTCTCACTTATTATTCATCACACATAAACCATTAATAGTCACTGGTTATGCAACCGTAAGTAACACA